GCTGAAAGCCGCCCTCCCGCCTGCGGGCCACCGCGACCCGCCCGCCTGCCCGCGGCCATGGCCATCCGGCCCGGCCTGTGGCCAGCGCTCCTGGGCATAGTCCTTGCCGCCTGGCTCCGCGGTTCCGGTGAGTCACGTGCACGTTCTGGGGAGGCTTGTGGGGGACAGTGCGTACAAACGCTCGCTGCTCTGGAATGGGGGGTGGTCCCTGACCCCCGTTGCCGGACCCAGTTGGGAGTCCCCCGAGGCCAAACTTTGCGAGGCAGGACGCGGGGGCCGCTTCTCATTGTTGCGCAGTTTCCCCGCGCGCTTCGCCTGAAGCCTGGGTTCTGCCAAGTCCAAGAGCAGCTGTCAGCGCGCGGGACTGGCGAGTACAGACGCCCCACGCCTCCGGGCGAGGGAAGTTTGCTGGTTGCCGGCCCCAGGGCAGGGTCAGGGGTTTGAATCAACGCCCCGGGGAGCCTGACTTTGAGGGTCGCAGATTAGAGGGTTTTGACCACATCCCAGTCCCCAGGAAATCAAGAAGGGCGGTTAAGATACCTCTTCCCGGTAGCATCTGCCTCAGACAGCTACTCACAATTCCTAGCTTGGCACCTGGCCTCTGCCCACGTCCAGAACACAGTGTCCTCTTCTGTCCCCGCCGCACACGCTCGCACACGTACATACTCAGACGTGGAGGCGCAGACACCAGCCCCCAGCCCTTGCAGCCGGCACGAGCACTGCGGGCCCCTCACTGGGGCTGTGGCTCCTGGCCCCACCTGGCGCGTGGGGGCCACAGTTGTGTATGGTGGGTTCACTTCCGCTTTCCTTTCTCCCTTTTACTACACAGCCCTTCCTCCTCCCTTTATGTCCCATTGGCCACCCTAACCTGCTCGGCAACTCAGCCCTCAACCCACCTCCTTTGCCGGGGGAGGCAGGTCCCCTGCATCCTTTGTCTGCTCTCCCTGCGCTTCCACCCAGGCTGAGCTGTTGCAGCCTCCTGATCTCTGCCCCCCACCCATGCACTTAGCAGAGCTGAACTTATTTATGTGTGTGTGTGGGGGGGGGTCATTTATTTGATTAAGAGGCCATGGGGCTTGCCCTAGCAATTCTTGATTCTTGCTGCTCCAAGAACCTGTGAGGTGCCCTTCTGCCTGGCCAGGCCATTTTTAATCCCAGGGGTGTCAGGAGGGAGTGTTGGGATTCCTGAGATTCAAAGCCAGACTGATCGGAGATCAATGAGTGATTGCTCAGAGACCAGCCCGATGATTGAGGCTGATAGCTGTTTCCTTAAAGGGACTCTGCGTAGCACGTCCTGCACCCACCACTGTCTGGCCACCCTCCCATCCTGCCCCCTAAGTCCTCCCTCTACTGCATCCCATCCACTCTATATCCCTTCTCTCTCACCCCATCATCCCCCCAAATCCCCACTTTAACAAACCCTTTTGCCCCATGACCTCCCCTTCTAATCCTGACCTAGCTAGGAGGCTGCACTGCCTCTGGGTGTGTGTTCATATTTGCACACATGTGCATGTTAAGAGTGTGTGTGCCACCCTCAGAGGGTGCGGGTTTCACCACTGACCATTGTTAGCTGGAAGTGTTCATGCTCCTCGCCCAGGGAAGGTGTTGTCAGATACCGAATAGATGCCCAGGGAAGGTTTACTGCGTCGGACATGTGAGAGGGCTGTGTGGTCATATCTGCATGTTGCCCACGTAATCATGTGTTAGGGCTGTGAGTTGGCATGTGTGCCCTGGTGATGACGGGGCCTAGCAATGTATGCAGCACTGGTATGTGTGTGGCCTGCCACTCATATGTGATGGTTGTGAGCAGTTGCACAGGTGAGCATATGTAGGTAAGGGGGTGATGGGTGCTNTATGTGTGTGGCCTGCCACTCATATGTGATGGTTGTGAGCAGTTGCACAGCTGAGCATATGTAGGTAAGGGGGTGATGGGTGCTGGTGAGACAGAGAACCACAACCATGGTGGGGGCCTGCCACATGGATTCCTCAGGAAACTGTAGAGTCAGGGGACTGCATCACTGGTTGGTGGAGCACCTGTTGGGGCTTAGCCCAAGGTTGTCCAGGGAGCTGGCAGGTGGGCCCATGTGCCATAGGACTGCCCTGAAGCAGAGCCTCCGGGCATCCACTCAGGCCTGTGGAAGGAGCTGCTGAAGGGCACGGAGGGGCCTTACTTCTCACCTGGGGCCATTACTATTGTTCCTCACAGGCTCCGGGCACATGTGCCCAGACAGGCTGGCCCTATGATGAACCTGGCTCCCCCTACACCACCCATCAGCTACTGGAGAACATCAGCCTGGGGAGAAAATGTGTGCAAGTGGCTGAGGGACAGCCAGCAGGGGGCGCGGGGGGAGGTGGTGGCCAGCACTATGGCAGCTTCCTGCTCCCCAGGCTGAGCGTCCACCCTGGGCCACACAAAAAGCCTGTCCCTTCAGCATACTCACCTGGTAGGCCCTTCTCTGTGTCCCTATACACAGGGACCCACCTGTCTCACAGGATTTTCCCATTCATTCCCAGTCACAGTTGGCACCTGCCTCTCTGCCCTTGTGGGCCATACCCATCTGTATGTTTCTCTTCACACAGATCTCCACAGTCCTAGGGGAGGAGCCCATGGGGACCTGGCCTATCCTGACCCCAAAAATTTGTCCTGGTGGCCTCTTCTTCAGGCCCACCCCTATCCTCAGGGCTGGTCCTGGACCCCTCTGTCCACCTCTCACCCCCAAATTGGAACAGTTGGTTGTGGGGAGGGTGTCTTAATTCTTTAGGGCTAAGAAATATTCTGTTCTCATTCACTCTGCCTTACAGATGGGATGGGTTAGGCTTTGGGGCCCCCCAGGTATCTCCAGAAGAGGGCTGGTCTTCTGACTCCCTTTGCCTGTGGTGGGAGGGGCTTCCCTCAGGAGCCCAGGAACTGGCATTGGTTCAGGTACCAAACCCCAACCAAGAGGCACTGGCCTGGTTCTTAGGAGCAGCCAACTTTGGCCTCAGGCAGGAGCCACCACCCACCCCAAGCTCCCATGGCCCCCACTGTCTTACATCCCTTCCTCCTGCCTGGTGCTGCTCCAGGTCACAGACCTGCAGACTCAAATCATTCAGCCTAAAAGGTGGGGGACCCCTTCTCCAGGTGAAGGCCCCAGTGCTGGGCTTGTCCACACACCTACAAGCCTGGGCCTGCTCATTCCAGGCCAAACATCTCCTGCTGCCCCTCCCTCCCACGGGCCCTGCCATCCCCCTCTCCCTATTCCCCAAGCCCCAGGGCTGGAAACCTTAGAGTCTCCCTCAGCTCTCCCTTCTCCTTCACGCTTCATTTCTAATTTGTCACCAAGTCCTCCAGCTCAGTCCTACTTGCGACATTGCTTGTGTCTCTCTCTTTTGTCACTCCCCCCAAGCCCCTTTCTCCCTCACCCTTCTCCCCTAAGCCACCCCCATTCATCGCCCTCCTAAGACTCCTCCAATTAGATTAATGTCCCTGGTGCCCAGACTTGAACCTGTGCCTCCCCAGTGCCTGCCTCCAACCCCAAGCCAGGGAGGGGTGGGGCTTAGGGGCCCCCCAAGTCACCATGCTTCACTGGGCTGATCCATTGGGAGGGAGATGTTCTCCCTTGCTCTGAATGCTGGTGGGCTGCTCACCCACATCCCTGGACAGGTTCCAGCTTCCTCACTGTAACTCCCTTGCCTTGCAGAACCTTGTACCCCCTGCCCTGCCAGCTACACTCCCCGTCCTACACCCCAACATCCTCAGCTCTGTGTGTGCCCTTCTGCTTATCTCAGCCCCCACCTTTAATCCAGCCCCCTCCAGAAGGCCTCCCCAGCTTCTCCCAGGGCCCAGGTAGGGGCCGAGGCATAGTGATGAGCTCAGTGGGCTACAGGATGGAGGTACTGGTTCCTTGGCCCTGGGGAGCCACGCACAGTGGCCTGGGGCAGCTGCCAGAAGCCTCTGGCCTGAGCCACCTTATTCACTCCAGCGTTTCCCACAAGTATTGCCATTGTCTATGGCACTAGGACCCCGCTCTCAGCCCCCAACATGCTCCGGGTCACGGCCAGTCAAGTGCTTCTTTTTTCTCTTTATTTCCTCCTCTTGAATTTGGGTTCTTTGGCTGCTGCCACTGGGGAAGGGGAGAGAAGTTTGCTGTGCCCCCCTCAGCAGCCCTCCCCATTCCTGTCCCCAAACACAGCGTGCCCTGCTCCAGGGCTGGAAATGGCACCTGTCCAGGGCTGGGATGAGCAAGGTGAGACTCCACCATGGGGTAGCTGTGCCCTGGCCCCTCACCCTGACGGCAAGCCAGCTTTCATGAGTGTCCGTGTTTGTGAGTTCCTCACGAAGGTTGTATGTCCATGTATGTTTACTAGGAACCTCCCTGCTCACCCTTCCCCCTCCCAGCCATAGATTTTCCCAGATGGGTGTCTTCTTGTATGAGTAACTTCATTCTGGGTCCCAGAGCTGCAGACTCAAACCTCTGAAAGGTAGAGCTGAGGGGCACCGAGCCATGACCTTGCTCATCCTGAATGGACAACCTGTACTGGTGGCCTCTTCCTCAGACCCCACCCCTATCCTCAGGGCTGGAGTTGACATCAAGACTTGAGCTGCTCTGTGCAGCACCTACTTGGGTCCCGGTTGAGGCTGAACCCCAGGAGAGCTTGGCCCCTGTCTCCAACCATCCTTGCCACCCAGATAGGTGCTCAGCTTCCTGTGACCAATTGTACCAGCCCACCCCATGTTCCTCTTGTCTGCTCCCATGGGAGTGGCATAGGAGGATCTTCCTGCCTTTTGGGGAGCCTCAGCTCCCTCTTCCTATCAGGTGGAGTAGAAAGGGCAGGGCTTTGGAGGCAGATGGGCCCAGGTTTCAGTCTGAGCCACCTAACAAATAACTTTTACTCCCCAGCCTGTTCCCACATCTCTTAAATTGGGTCACATCTGCTTCTTAGGGTTATAGTAATAAGTTGATGGGCAACACAGAGAGAGGACCCCAGGGTAGACCCTGACTTGGAGCAAGCGCCTATGACTTGTTTGTCTCCTTCTTTCATTTTCCTGGCATTTGAAGGGGCACAATTTAGGACAGGTGGGGTCCTAAGCTGCGTCAGGGCCCAAGCCCAGAGATAGGAGAGAAGGTCCCTTATGTGAGCTGCTTC